TATGTAAACAAGTTCTCACCAAGTCAACCACACAACGCCATCAGCCCATACTCACCCAGTTGCATGGCCCGACTGGTCCTTCGCCATTGGACGGTCGATCTCAAACGTTGTGGCAAAATTGTATGCGTCTGTATTGGTCAGGTTAAAGCTTGCGGGTCCCGCTTTACACGTGACAAACACCACCTCCCTCAAGCTACAACGGCCCTTGGGCACCTGGCTGGTACTATTGGGTGTAGTACTCGCACTACCAGGGTTCCCCAACCCAATCCCAGGGTAGTTCGTACCCATGCCCGTGCCCGTACCTACACCCAAACCACCACCACCACCTGAACCTGCCCCAGGAGTCCCAGGCACCCCCGCGGGTGCGGTAGCCCCGGTGCTGCCTGTACCGTTACCGGTCCCAATCGATGCACCTGCATTTCCTGCTGCAGGGCCGCCACTGCCACTGCTTGTGCTGGGGGCCTGGGCAGTGCTCGCTGAGTCCGAGTGACTACTGGCGGCTCCTGGGGCATTGGTCCCCGAGTTCCGATTGGCCCTGTCCAGCACCTCTGCAGTACTTTCTGGTGTGTGATCTAACGCCATGTGCAACCGAGCCGTAGCATCGACGCCAATGGTAGTACTCACCGGAGGGTCAGCGTTAACGCCCTTCTCCGCATCCTCGGCTGGGTCTGATTCGTCGTCTGCTAAGTCCATAACTAGACTCTGGCCGACTTTGCGGGGTTTATGCCCCACCGGTTTCATATCACACGCTTCGCCATTTGGACCGTCTGTGCCGGTCTTCCTGTCCTTATTCCCAGAGGTAGGGCTGGGAATGTCCTTCAAGCATGTATCCCCATGCACTTCTGCGTTGTTTGCAGTACCTCTACCATTCCCCGTGGCATCCGGTGTCGTATTTCTACTTGTTGTCAGATCTGCCGCTGCGTTGGCAGCAAGGGCAGATGGGCCGTGTGTGTCACTCTGTGAGCTTAAAGCGAGACGAACCGGGACGTTCACACGGGCGCCTGTGCTTGCATGGCCTGTGCTTGCATGGCCTGCCGTGCGCTGAGCCGCATGCCCCATCGGTGCTGTCGTCGCGTGCTTGAGCGTACTCTGCTGCCCCTGCCCCATATCCCTCGTAAACGTCTCTGTATGTGACTTATCTCCCGTACTGTCACTATGTGTAGGCCCCACGGGGGTGTTTGTACCACTCCCAGGCGTCTGGGTAGCGTTCCCCGTACCTGAGCCATGGCCATTCACCCCATCGCCGCTGCCACCCGTGTCACTGAGGGTCTGGTACGTACCCCCTGGGGCGATGCTCATGTGAGTGGCACTATTTGGATTGGTAAGAGTGCCAATAGAATTAGGATTAGGGGCGAGCGTATTCGCCATGCCACCTGCACTGTTGGGGACAATTGGCATGAGAATCGGCTTCATCTCCTCCATCTCCGGTGGCTCCATACCTACCCGAACGCGCGTTTCCAGCAGAGACGCAAAGCCTTGACCCTCGCCCACATATACCAACGGGGACAAAACAGCGTTCAGGAACTGCACCAAATCCTCATACAGCATGGCCCACTGCCGCGCACTGAGTGTCTTGGACTGTGCCGGTGGCTGGGTTTTGTTTCGGCCGTTTGGATTGGTCGAGCCGCCGCCGGCGGTGTTTGCTGTGGATATTGCTGTATTCTGATTGGCCAAAAGTCCAGTCGAGGGAACCGGGTTGACATTCGAGGCGGTGGGCTGGTTCTGGTTGCTGAGCAGGAGAGAAGTGTCGCCCACCAATCGCATGTACTCCTCAATGGCATTGCCGAACTCATTGACCAGGTAGCTGTGGCGTGGTATAATAAGCGATTACAACTGTACGTGTCAGAATAAGCGGATCTGGCTATGGATGGATGCCATGAGACTAAGTCGGCGCAACGACCCCGCCTGCTAATACGCTGGAAACAAGCACGATAAACCCCCCGAGGAAGTACACACAAATACACACAAGTGGACTTGCTGATCCCCATGACACCCGAAGAATGGCTAGATACCATCCATTCGTGGGAATAAACTAGAGATGCTATCGACACGAACGCTTGTATTTGGGGGCACGGATGAGGTGGGTGATACGCAATCAACTACAAACTCTTTCCTGTGTCTCCGAGATGCTCGAATAAACCCCTAGAGCTGACTAGCAAGGCGTTGTGTCTTGGACCTATCCTTACCAATACATCACATCATGTTTACAGACCACGGTCATCAGCCTTAAACCTATGCTTACCAATACATCACATTATGTTTACAGATCACGGTCATGAGACTTGGACCTATCCTTACCAATACATCACATCATGTTTACAGACCAAGGTCATCAGACTGACAAACATATGTAAGGCTTCTCAACTTTGTTTTGATGCGGTGAGTTGCCATCACATGACCACGAACTAGTCACGTGGGTACACGTGCCCGTCTCAGTCCGACAGAAAATTAAGTAACATAGAAAACCAGCCAACTTACCCCTGTACTCACACTCACACTCATACTCAAAGTTATACACGCCCATATTTTTATCACTTACACAATTCTTGAAGTATGAACCGGCACTACCAACAAACACATCCTCGCACATCAATTTGAATATGCTGACAACTTTACTTATGTTGCAAGTGAAGATGTTTACATACTTGCTGCATCATCGGCAACTACAGCCACAACTCGTACGTATGCGGTACGTATGTGAGTATGTGAGTAGCGACCAACAACAACACCACGAATAAACTAAGTACCACCTATACAAACAAGCAAATTTACACAACTTCGTACATTCACTCAAACATCACAGACCACTATGATGATAGAGATGCTGAATATCAACCCCAATAAAAGCCAACAAATGAGTTGATTGGATATTGAAGGAAGTGGCGACCACAAGCA